CTCCCCACTGTATGTCATAGTCGGCCACTTGTACAGTACTCACCTTACATTTTTCTACCTTTGTGTCTGTTTCTGAAACACTCTTCAGTTCCCCTCCTCTCGACTTTTTCCACTTTGATGTTCCTCTTCTCCTCTGTGAAGCTTGAAATCAACTTAAGGGCTAATGATAACTATCAAAACGCCTGCCATTTGATATAAATAAATAAATATTTCATAATTTAAATTGACCTGACAATCTTAGATGCGTTTTTCCTATCTCCCTGCTACTGCAGTGACGATGTAGTAGTCAAGACTGATCAAGTTACTAGAAGAAACCCCAGCCACAACAATAAAATACATAAATTCAAATAAAAATGTTTTTTCTTGCTATCAAGTATGCGAATGGATAACTTGAAGGCTGGCTGCTTTAATATAAGTGATATTTAATTAAATTAGTAATGAAAAATAATATTGCATAAAATAGGCGAAAAAATGTCAGGAAAAGACCTCAGCTATACTGACCCAATAGCAAATTGTTTTAGGCATATATAAGTGTATTAGATTATCAGACGGAGTGTATACGCGTGTGTCTAGACAGTGAATGTTAACAATAAAGTGAGCATAGTATTTATACTGTCATGTTTAAAGAAAAAATATTACACTCTTATTCTCAATTGAAAAGTCATTTTTATTCACAACTCAACTTATTGTTTTCGTAGAAAAATTATTATTTCATTTTTTCCTCAAAGATGGAAATGTACCGTTTTAGTTTAAAGTCGTAAGATTTTCAATTGCCTTATTGTCTACATAATGAGGCCATCATTGAGATCAGAAGAAAAATATTCTTACTTCCTAAGCTTTCTAATTTAGTTGTTCTCAACTCATTATGTGCGAACCCTTAAAGCAAAATGCACAAAATTTCTGTGCAAAATGAACAAGAAATTTTTTAAAGTAGGCATCATTTTGAGTCTGTCATTGGTTTTAGTTCAAATATTTCTCTCCCAATTATAGGTTAGGTTTAAGAAAGATACCAATCAAGTATTAATTAAATATTGCAACCAATCTCGATCATTTGTATTTTGCCTGCAGTTAACGTTCTCTGAAAATTCCAAAAACAATTTAAACATGGATTTCATCAGTGGAAATGAATCAAACATTTTTTGATCATTAGTTCACCAAAATATCATTAATCGTAAAACTGGCACGTTAGTAGGCATAGGAATAGTACCTAGAATTGTTTATTAATTTGTTTGTTTGAGGGTTCAGCCTGCTATATTACTATGCCAAATTACTGCTCAGTTAAAAAATTTCAAAAGAAAAATTACATCTTCACATTATAACACGCAAATCGCACCTGAATTAGACAGATATATCGAATCTTCCACTTCTTGAAGGTGGAACGACCTTGGACCCAACAGAAGCCACAGTGCTTCAGATTTGATGGTCGTTCCTGCCTCACAGCTACTTGCAACTCAATTGCATCATTGCAGCGTTTGGTTGGTTGCAATTTATACCAGGTGGGCAGATGAGAGGTAGATGGATTTGGCATCAGTACAACCTAAAATCCCCAAATTACTATTAATTAAAAGGGAACAGATGAGGGAGGTGGGTATATTGACTTATGGAGGGAGTGCTTACTCGGCCAAGTTCTTTGTGATCCAGTGAAAATGCGCCTGAACTCTCCTTTAAGAGTTTCAATTTTACGCAGGGAAGAGGATGAGAGGTCTCAAACTCTGCGAGAGTGTCCCATCTAGAAAAAGCGAATGACGAATGCTGATCTTACTACACAAGAGTAATAATTAAATCAAAATCTTGCTGTCCTTTTAAAATACTTCTTAATTTACCAAATGCGTCCCATTGGGTAACGAAATATCAAACCAATTCATTGCGCCTGCAAAATATTTTTCCTTCAATCTTTTGAATTCCAAACACACATTTGCCATTTCGCACTACTTAAAATACTAGTTAATACTGGTATACCTATAAAGGTGGTCGAATTCGTCTAGGTGGATAGTTGGAGTTATGAAGTCACAGGACGTCTAAAGTCGGAGATTAGTTTCTTCAACCAAAATACTATGCGTCATCTCATGGGGACGTCATTGAGATATAAAGTGTAGCGATACTATTAGCTATCAAGTTTCAAATGAATTTTCACAGTTTTTTTTCCTCGATTTACTCTGCTTTATACCACTGATATTATTATTTTCAAACCGAATATCATAATATTGTATTTATTTAATTAAGGGAAATGGAATGGTGAAATAGCCCAATACATGATGGAGTGGGGTGTGGAGGTGGGGGAGGGGGGAGGTTGAGAAACAGCTCGAATAAAAATAGAGAAAGTATCACCGTTTAAATGATAAATCTATTAGATAAGTATACATGTTACTGGATGCAATTAACTATTTCATATCAAGCTACTCCGTAGGTCAAATTTCATAATGTGGCTTCTTAGACTTGGAGTAAGAGTTACTTTAAGAGATGATCCAAGCTTATTGATAAGTTTTTCACATCAAGTATTCGGAGACACCACTGTGCTGCCCATCTTAATTTCCTATTTTACATAGACATCAATGCTACTTTAGCGCAATAGTTCAGAAAATACTAAGTAGTAGAATTGGCCATCAACTCGCTTTTTCAGAAAATAATGTCTGTTAGTGGACAAGGCAAACGCGCACGCGATCGCCCCGACAATGCAAACCGTTCTCAATTGCCATTTTCAAATTTAATTCATTTTTAATTCAGTAAATTAAATATTACAATATGTATTCTATCTTTGAAACTCTATATTGATGGCAATATTAGACGAATATAACGACTCACATTGGCTTAGCAGCGTTAACGGAGGCTGTTCGCTGTCGTTCCGGACATCCTTCCACCTCAATAGTGCAGAAGACTTGCTTGTTGCCTACGAGGTGTCTTAATGGTCGCAGCTGACATATCATAATCTAGATGTGGCCGTAAAACATAGAATCTAATACAGTGCCAAGCAGATAGGGAGGTTTGGGAATCACATCAGTTTCCATATACCTCCACTAACAATTAACTTCTTCAATATACTTACCTGAAGATTGAAAGATAGTTGGATGTTCATTTTGGAGATATTTCCCCCGATATGATTAAAAGAACACCGTAATTGCACATTGGAACCGTCCGTCACCAACTGGTGCTGCTGGCCGTCATCTCCTGTTACCCAAGGCATGATAGATGTTCGATGAACAGGAGACAGGCTGGAGATGGCACCTCTACGGACATCTAGATCACCATTCTGTTGAATGGGCAGTAAACCCAAGGTCAATTGTGTGGAAAGAGGGAAGGGATTTTGTGACCCCGATTGTTGTTGCGGATGAGCGGAGTACTTCTTGAGTCGTCGTTGAAGCTGAACTACAACACCAACGGCACCAGAGCCAACACCAGCTGAATAACCATGGGATTTTCCAACTGGAACAGTTTCAAGTTGTAGCATCAATTGATTGAGGTTCTTGATTTGTTCCTCCACGTACTGAACCTCCATCTCTTTGTGTACCATCTTGGGATACCGCCGGTTCTATAACATAAATAGTATATGGTTAATATATTTTGTGCGCATACATCTTTCCAAGCCAAAATGAAAGAGGGCACAGTAAACGCAGGTCTTGTATCTTCTTAATAAGAAGATTACTGACAGACAGCTGACCATATCTGAGGAGATACAATGAATTTCAAATAACTGACAAAGGAAGGACCAAATTGGACCAAATTTCTTCACCGTTTACCAGAAATCATTTCCTCTCAATGTGGGGTATGTATCCGCATGCCCAAACGAAAATGCAAAATTTGTATCATCCACCATGACGCTTAATTTGGTGGCTTTGTGGATAAGGACAACACTGATGCTCTATCTTCTAAACGGATGCAATTGTTCTTTTATACATAAGATCAGCAATGATTTAGAAAGGCACAACTGGGAAACTACAAATATGTGCAAATATTCCAATGAAATTATCACTCGGCATTCATTAAAATAATTCATCCGTAGACAATGATTTACCAAAGTCTATCGCCTCTCCGTATTTTGAATATATTAGTATTAACATATAGGACGGCATAATTTATCAATCAATCAAACTTCCCAAACCCAAAGGGAAAATAAAGAAGAAGAGGGAGTGAAAGTAGCCTGGATCGGTTCTCAACAGATGGCCATATTTAACCATTTCTCTAATATGTCCTCATAAATCAGTGTACATCACTGGATTGCGACCGATTACCACCGACTTCACAAACAGGCACTCTGATTACTCGTCACCCAAACAGTCAAAGGGAAAGGGAACACGAAGTTGGCCACAGATCCTGCACTGTTTTACAATAGGGAAATTGCTGCTCGCTTGATTTTTTTATGATTGGTTCACTCACAATGGCAATCTCCTCCAGGTATGTTTTTCGGTCAGCCAGCTCGCGTCGAATCTGCGCAGCCTGTTCGTCCACATTGTCCAACTACAAAGAGATAATTAATAAATCAGTTGGGGGGGGGGGCGAATAATGAATCACTGATCTATTGCATATTAACCGACACACAAAATGAGCAGATAACTTGCGTTCCCCCCTAGGTGTTTTATTTCTCCTGCTGCAGCGAAAGATAAGACACTAGATCAAACCAAACAAGCAAACAAACAACCAAAGTGGAAGTAACTTTAGTGAATTGAATTGGTTTATTAGGAATCTATATATATTTTGTTATTATTTATATCTCATTTTAGGGGGTGTGCGATAGACTTACCTCCACGTGGTGCACCCTGGGCAACGTATACTCATACGGCAAAAAAGTCTATCAACTGGCAGTTGACTTCTGACTTCAAACTACCACGACCCCACTGTATGTCATATTCGACTACTTCTACAGTACTCAACTCACCTTTTTCTACCATTTCTACCTTCGTCTTTGAAACAATCTTCTGTTCCCTCCCCCTCTCTACTTTTTTCACTTTGATGTTCCTTCCTCTCTGTGAAGCCCGAAATCAACTAAAGGGCTTGTGATAACTATCAAAACGCCTGCCATTTGATATAAATAAATATCCCATTTTAGAGAGAAGGTGCATAACGCCTGGGATATCTGGCGTCAGATTCTAAGTAAAATGAGAAAATGAACCTACAAATGCCAAAAGTGAGCCATTTTTGTGGTAATACTTGGAAAATTGAATGATAAAATAAGTACTCATATAATGAGGCTTACACACCTAATGCAAGCAAGACGATAATTAATGAGGTGGGTTAATTTTATAATATTGTTTCTTTGAAAATTATAAACTCAAGGAAATTTCGACGGCAAACTGTAGTGATTTAAAATTCTGATTCAATTTGTAACCTACTCAGTACACTGTACCAAGCTAGTTTTAATTAATTCTTATAAAAATGATATAATTTAACAACTCTTTGATAGATTTTCAATAAGTATCTCTCGGCCTATATGTGAACAGTACATATACAAGCTAACTCTGAGTGTGTATTGCCAATCTATTGGCCCATGCCTATACCCCAATTGTAGGCAAACGAAAGGCGTAAAATCGTTCCACTGTATTTCGTACCCTTAGTCACCCATTGCTTGCAGTCCTGTCTCCTCTCGATCAGTACTGACGTCTCCTCCTCCTCCTCCTCCTTCCCTCCATTTCATTGACAATTGTTCAATAAGCACGTGATTTTAATGATCTTAGCCATCTAATTCTAAAAAGGCTACTACGCCCTGTTCTGATAAGGAATATCTAAGCTAAGTTGGTATGACTACTAAAGTGGTTTTATACTGGGATTAGAAGTAATTTATTGATTTCGAACTATGCTCACTCTTCACAAGTCCCTTACGTTAAATCCTCAACGCAGCATTTTGATGGATACATGCAAAGTACTTTCTTCATTATTTCTGCAGTCCAGACATGAACTAACCTGACGTAATGTACCGTTTTTCTCAGTAAGTTCACAACAGCATCAGTTCCTTCCTAATATACGTATACTCAATCCATTTCCAAAATCGGGTGTTGGCATCATGTTGACAGGCGATTGGCCAATTGGTGTGTTTACGCTTCCAATGTCCAGTCATAACAAAATGCTTGCACATTTTGCGTTATTTGGAGTTCATGAGCAAACCAGTTTGCTACTGAATATAATGATTTTTCCTGACTCACCAACAAGAACTGAACTACCAAGACTCCCGATTTATATTATACTCACAAGGCTTCCACCTTTTTCAGATTGCAGCGCGAACCAAAATACCAATGGGATCATCAACAAATTGCTTTGTTCTTACTTCAAAAAACGTATGATTTGATATGCATTAAAGTGCTACGGTCTTTAGGGATACAAAAGTATGCATGGATTATTAATGAAGAAGATGAATGCTAATCTTAATCGAGAATGAAGGTAATGTAAAAGTTGTCAGTAACTATTTTGTCCTTATATCAATTATGCTGTTGGATTAAATGATTATATACTTGAAAAAATCAGGATTTGGGAAGAATGAAGTAATATCTAAAGAAATGGATGCAGTATTGTCAAATTAGAGTAGATATCCAACGACATTTTTTCCTTAAACTCACATCATTTGTAAATAAGGATGAATAAGAAATTAGATTTTCATTAAGGATTTTGGTTTTTTAACATTTCCAAAAAGATGGCTTTCTAATTCTAGTTGCATTCCAAGGCAATCGAGAGGGTAATTAAAGTAATTTAAGAAGGCAAAAGAGAAGATTTTACCCCGTCTAATGTCAGAAATGCCTATTTTCAGATACTTTATAATACAAACAGACTATTTTCATTAAATGAAAATGAAAGTGATGTTAAAACTCACCTGACAAGCATTGTACAGAATTTGATGTTCGTACTTCTTGATTGAAAGGATTCGCATAAAGAGGTCATAAAGCTGTTCTTTAGTTGGATTGGTCAACTCAAGTTGGGGAGACCCGAGACGATTGGCTATAGGACATGGACCTTCACCACCTCGGCATATTTGGTCAAATTTCACCTTCCAAGCTCCAATTACGGTCTGCTTGGGAAGGCCATCAATTTCTTCGAAACGTTGGAGCTAAGACATATGGAGTTAGTGAGGCACGTAAAAACACTTTGAAGATCATATTTATGTAATACCGTTTCCAATAAAGAATCTCTCATTATAGATTACTTTATTCCTACTTGGAATGACCTGAAGGTGAACGTTACTGTGTTTTTCTAGGCGAGTTGTAAATACGCTCGTTTACCTAAGTCATGACAAGGCAAAAACAGGTTATTTGAAATTGCTCAATATTTTTCTCAAACGCAATTGTTGTTTTTTCAATACTTTCATCACATAAGTTTGTTTATGAGAACGAGTTTATACTACTCTACGCTGTAGGTGGTTCAGCGTAAATGTAAGTAGAAAACGTCTTTTGTATGCAAACGAGAATGTGTGCTTTTCCTTCTTTTGGATAGAAAGCAAGAATTCGTACCTGGAATGCATAATTTTCTGAGGCTCTCTGAAAACATATGTGGACTCAGACTTCCACAAATCTAATTCCTTAATTTCACTGCGCCATAAAATAAAAGCTCAAAAAGAACTATACAGTTCCTCAAATATTCATTTCGCTTAACCAAACCAATGTTAGTAATAGTAGGGGTGTGCGATAGACTTACCTCCACGTGGTACACCCTGGGCAAAAAAAGTCCATGAACCGACGGTTGACTTCTCAATTCAAACTAGCATGACCCGACTCAATATCATATTCGACCACTTCACAGTACTCACCCTACCTTTTTTCTCTACCTTTGTGTCTGTCTGTCTCCTTTACATCCGTGTATCACTCTTCTGTTCTTCCTCTCAAATTTTTCCCATTTTGATATTCATCCCCTCTGTGAAGTCCGAAGTCAGCTAAAGGGCTAATGATGACTATCAAAACGCCTACCATTTGAAATACATAAATTTTAGCACATGCAACTTAAAAAGAATGTCACCAGTATACTGTTCACCTTCATCAAATGGATTGAATGTGGCTTCAATGTTTTTTAAATCACCCACTGTCACTGGCCCAGTTACCGAAATTCTCTATTTTTCACCTTCGCAAGTGAAGGGCAAAGTGGCAGGGTCCTTCCTCACAAGCCGCTGTTATCGCCAAAACTCAATCTAAACGAGTAGCTAGAACGACGGGGTTTTCTATCCAGCAGCCGTGGATGATGCAGATGCATCTTAGTTCCCACAAACGGTTGGCAAAGCATATAATATTAATTAACCCTAAACTCGCTCGGAAAAGAATTTTTCAATTCTTCGGTTAAGACAGATAGGAAACTCGAATTCTGCCGCTCCGTACCTTAGCATCGATAAGTATAGAGCTGGTGCACATTTAGCTGTGCGCATTATATATCACGTGCAACTTCTGCCGCCTCATTTGGCTTATATTTTTAACTCTCATCGCCACGGGCCTTCAGTAGTAGAAATCTTGCCTGTTATCACCATCTTAGCTTCCTTTATTGATCTCATTTATGAAAAAATCATTGGAAAAGAGAACCACTAATGAAGTCCTAGATGCCAACCACTTCTGCTAAGAGAGCAAATGATAGAGATTAAGGCAATGAAATTGCCAAGCCGCCCTCCACCCCCACCCCCACCCCCATCCCCTCCACATTAATTTTCGTCATATGGGTAGGAAAGAAAATACGCACATATCCACCCCCTTATGATTGAATAGAGGCTAATTTAACTCACCCTCTGCTCAATACTTCGAACAAAAACCTCTCGAATATCATTCATTGAAAAGCCACCAGCAATCACGGCTCGTTCCACAGACTCATTTCTGAGATAGATTTCATCAAAATGCAACACGGCATTGAAGAAGGCTTCATCGCACACTATCTGCAATTCCTTATTTAGGAAGGCCTGTTGTAGGGGGGAGAAGACACAGATAAGAATACAAAAGAAAAGGGAGGATCAGGTAAACTATGTGCTCTATAATTCATGCTCAAGAGATTTGAGGACAAAATTTGCTGTAAGCGCTCCAAGCGGTAATGCTGTTAAGGTTAGAGGGGTATTAGCGAAAACTCTTTGATACGCATACCCAAGCATTCCTTACGTCACATGGGTCATAATACTGTATGCATACTCCCTAAAACCTAAATGGTAGAAAGACAAAATGAGTAACGTAATAAATTATCCAAAAACCAAAGGCCACTGGCCTCGAATGCTGTTTACTAAGTAAACTTGATTATTATTAAGAATATGAATTCACAGGGAAGTCTTCACCTTACAAGTATACCACTTATTGTAAGAGTGCAAGGATGTCGTAGCTAGTATTATCGGTGCATCAGTGCAAAGTTACCAGGCTTCCTCGATAATGCACTGACATATCGATCATTGGTTTTTCACGCAAGTGCCTTTGTGAGCTATTTCTTCATTGCTGAGGCAGTTGATTAATCAAGAAAGACTACAATTTAGCACTCAGCAAAGTCTTTGAATATTCTTATGCCTATTTTTTATGATGTGTCTGTTCTTTTTCCTTCATACTCTTAACCAAAGTGTAATTATAACGGTCTACATCGTTATAAGAAAGAGAAAGGTGAAATTCGAAAATTTGCGTATGTAGAACAGTGATGTTTATAACTGGACCTGCAGTTAGGGCCTTTTAATGAGGCTCTCATGGTTTCAGGCTGTTCATTTTCGGCTGCTGCTTAACTCTGGAAAAGTGAATGCTTCCATCTGCATATTTCCCAAAACTAGTGCGTGTTTTATTACTCAATTGTGTAACTGGCAGCTACGTGGAGTAAGAAATTGCAGAACTTGATTGCATGGGAAATAAAAGTGGACAGGTAGGTACAATTTTGTGTGTGTGTGAACCCACTGAAATCAAAACCAATAAAATAAGCACTAGAGCAAAAATTTGTTAGGAATTAATCAATATAGGTAAATTTAGGAGGATGTGGACGTACGGTGAATCGCTCTCGAAGAACGTTGAGGTACTCACGAGTAACTTTTAGATATCGACGAACAGGATCTTGGGGAAGAGGCACTGTGAAGGGATAAGCTATGCATCGGAGAACAAACACGTACCTAAAGAGGAAGAAGGAGTTAAATTTGAGTCTCCAATTGTCTCAAGTTAGTACTTATATGCTCTGAAGTAGGCAAGGCATTGGATACATTAGTTACATCAATGCAAACAAATCAGGCCTTGCTAATTTTTCGCTGTGCTGTCAAAACGACCGAGATCCACGAACTGCGAACTCCAAGTTAAATTTTTTTAATTTTTACCAAATATATACCCCTTCCAATAGATGATTATTTGAGATTGATTTGGCTATTCGTTTGTCTAGACCCAATATTAAGCATTCTAAATGAATGAATAGAGAGTGATTAACTGACAGTATTTGTCTTCACTTGTAGAGATGTCAAAATCCACTTGCTAAATGTCGCAAATGAAGGTGAATAATTAATCTATCATATTAGTAAACAGGATAAAATTTAGCCCTAAAAATATTTTAAAATAGGATCGCATTTCTCTCAGTAACGCATTAATTAATAAAACTGTTAATTTTGAAAACTTAGTATTGGCAATGAGACCCAAGAAATCTAAAGCTCGTAGGTAGTAGATGGATAAGTAGGCGGTTTATCTATTTTCAACAACATTAATTCGCAAAAAAATGCCATTTTTTAATGGGCAAAAGCTTGGAAAAATAATCTTTTCAGATTTCTTGAAAGCAATGTTTTCGATTAAAGGAAAAGGGGGAAATAATAGGCTAGAGCTATGTTTTGGGTGATTTATGTTTTGAGTGAAAATAAACGTTTGAATTGTGCTTTGAGAGGGACAGTAAGAACAGAGTGGGGAAAGATTGCATCGAAGCAAATTGATGGAAAAAATCGACTTTTTACTAATTACTATCTTTGAAGATTATGCTACCACTATAAACCATTCTTAGCTCCCAGGCTTACGAGACAGAGCAGAATAATGCTATTCATTGAATGATTAAATCTCCTTTCTACAAGCGCGAAAAGAAGAAATCGGCCAAGCAAATATTCGCCCTATATTTTTTTGCGATTCCGGATGTGTACTTTCATAAAATTATTCCAAATGCATGGCTGCTCAACGAAGTGAAGAGAAAATGTTTGCGTGTTTAGGAGCCTCAGAATTAAGTGTCATGAGTTCAAGCAGGAAATTAATATATATTCAAAATTATGCCCGCTTTTATAGAGGGCCTCGCAGAGCTCCCTATTCAATCCACCAGAAATCGCAAGCAATGTATTCTCTAATGCAAATTATATATTCGATACGAACATTTAATAAATGGACTTATTATTAATTGAATAGATTCCTCCTTTTCCAGTTTATAAAGAAGGAGCGCTTTCAATTCAGAGAATCTCGGGGTTCAATTTCAAAGGTGGTGACTAAATCTCTGAAAGAATAATCAAAATGGAGAAATGAAAGAAATTTAACATCACCTTAGCAGAGTAAAAAGACACGGGCACTTTCAATATCACAAAGCTGTTCGAGTATTTTTCGACTGCCAAATTACTTGACTTCAAGAAATATATAGTTCTATGAACCCTCGAAATTGCATGGGAAAAGATGATTACAATGCCATATAAAAGTTAATCTCAGAAATTTAGGAAATAGCCCTTTTAGGCACCTTTTATTGATGCTAATTTTGTACCAAGTATTATTTTAGTAAATTGATTGCAATATATTCGCAGAATGAGATAATAATAATGAAAATTTGTAAGATTAGCGTTTATTCTCTAACCCCAGTTGGCATTTTGACTTAATCTTTTAAAGATTGTTTCTCATAATTGCAAAAAAATCTATTATACTCGGAAAAAAACAAAAGAATCTCGCTTTGAGTTCCCATCAAAACCCCTGGTTTTGATAAATACAAATGATATGGAGAAGGAGTTTTCATCAAAAATACAAGATTGCCGAACCTTAAGGGAGTAAAACTTTCCCGAAATAGGTCCTAAAATAATAATTTTTAATGAGTAAAACAATTTTTTATTTTTTTTTCTAACTTCCTATAAGCTCTTTCTTCATAAAACCATATAATTGATGTAGCATATTACTTAATATGGGACCTAGGAAAGTTTGAAATGTAAAAAAATGATCACATATTTGCGTCGCAGTCATTAATCGAAACAAGGTTCAATTTTCACCCTCTGCTTCAGCAGCATGTTAAGGCAGTCTCAAAGTGTATTCAAGCAACTACAAAAAATTAAAAAACAATCAAAAGCAGTGACTGTTGTCTATTCGCCCAGAGATCGTTTAACAACCTACGGTCTCGAATTTAGTTTACAGCGAGTGAGAGATAGAGAGGAAGGTGGGTGAAAGTGATTAAAATTCTGTTTACAGGGTGCTTAATTGGATTATGATGGTGGATCCACATGCACTGCGTTATCCGGTTTCTTATCTTCCCAAAGTCAAAATAAGTTCAATCCCTTCCAGGACTGGAATTAGACAAAGTGCTGGAAAATTTGAATATTATGAGAACACAACTAAGTGGCATTGGTAATAGTCCAGAAATATTAAAATGTATTCAATAATTGTGATTGTTGGAGTGGATATAGAACTTTTAGAGGCATTAGACTTTCCATGGGGAACAAAAATATACCATAGTTTCATCCATCAATAATCACATTTTAATAAGTCCCATTAATAGGATAAATGCTTCCATATTGCTTTTTAAAATATGATTAAGATTGGCAGATGTGGAGCTTTCAATATTACTTTTACACAAGCAACCGAGAAAAGGATTCTAGTGATTTCTTTCTTGAAGGTTACAAATTTCTTACAGAACATAATTGCCATTTCCAGCTTCGGGATACCCAAAAAAATGAACTAAGCCAGAGATTAGTTCTCATAGCAATTGAAAGACATTAACACTGAATGTTTGTTTTAACTTACAAAACATTTCTAATTTATGTGATATCATATTCTTAAGATGGGGTGTGCGATAGACTTACTTCCACGTGGTGCACCCTGGACAACGTATACTCATACGACAAAAAAGCCTATTGATCGGCAGTTGACTTATGATTTCAAACTACCATGACCCCACCGTATGTCATATTCGACCATTTCCACAGTACTCATCTTACACATCCTCTGCCTTTGTGTCTGTCTGCCTGTCTGTCTCTTTTACATCTGTGAATCATTATTCTTTTCCCCCTGTCGACTGTTTGTCACTTTGACGTCCCTCCTCTTCTCGGTGAAGCTCTAAGTCAGCCAAAGGGCTAATGATAACTATCAAAACGCCTGCCATTGAAAATAAATAAATTTTCTTAAGATTAGGTGATTGCATTACCCCACAACTTCATAGAAAGTTAGTAAACAAGTTTGAGTTTTTGTTCATCGATAACCTTTAATCAGTTTATAACTCGCAAAACCATTAAGGTAGGCTTTGAATATCTTCGCCTTTGTGGAGATTATTAGTGCCATAGAGCTGCCAAGACCAGCTTCAAATCCATCTCCGATAATTTATTCAGCCTTTAATTAGGACGAGTCTGTCAACATAAATTATTTGGCGATATAGACATGTATGCTGATTGATCTCGAACTCGAATCATCTGAGATAATGAATAAGTCGACTGGACGCTTACCCACTATAAAGTTTTCAACAGGCAAATAAAAATTACTCTGCTGATCAAAATAGTTGAGAAATAAATTAATTGAGCTCAGAGTCTAGTTAGCAATTTCTGCCTCCTCAAATAAATCATAAGATGGTCAAATAGTGCGAAAAAGTGGGCTAGAAATACCATTTATGTGTAAATATGTCATGTGTGCATGTATCAATAAGTTGAGAAGATAAGAGATGTCAGTACTTTCGAGATTCTTCAGTACATAATCGGACTGTGGAGCAGTTTCTATGAGACGATGTTTTCCAGCCTCGATTAAGATAATTCAAAAGGTACCTAAAGCCTTAGAGAAACATTTGAACCAATTCAACAAGGGGTTAACGTGAAACAAATATGTTTGATAGTACTGCGGAGTTTTCCAAAAATGGGCTCTTATTCGAATGGGCTGTTAATTTGGGTTAAAAGTTAAAGTGCAGTCTTGCAGCTTTTCGGTACTTGGGACTTTAGCTTAACTCTCTCCATGGACTCTTGTTCAGGTGGAAGGTTATTTGGTTTTAAAAAATTGTTTCATGAAATTAAATTTTCCTTCTAACCGCCCAGGGCGGATTTTCGGAAAACCCCAGCATATAGCGGATATACTATTGCAATGTTTATATGATATGGAAAGCAGAATTTTATAAAACCGTAGTGTTATTACATAGGTATGAACACAGCAGACAGATCATTAGCAAAAATATATCAAATGTGTTTAAATAAGTACAACAAGACTATTCGACAATATTTAAAAAAATAATCATCCCAAAACATCTTTGCTAAGAACAATCCAAATTTGGTTTACTCAGCTTCCGGTTATTACCTAATTTTCTTGAGAAATTCTTTGTTTCCCAAACTCTAAAACGTGGGAGAAGAAAAGTCTTTCAAAATTGTGACTTTACTGGGATTGTTGAGCTGTCAAATCACAAGATGCAAAAGAACATGGATTTTAATTTAACCTGTCGATGTGTGCCTATCAAACAGAAAATTGAAAAGGAAAAGTGAGTGAAATTTGCCCAAGTAAAATTGGAACACTATCCAAAAGGTAGGTGGGGGTTGGGGGAGGGGGGGAGGGGGGGGGGGAAACAACGTAAAACAGGACCAGTGAAGGCCAAATTCACTTTCTTAAAGCCAGGGCAAAGCTGAAGAATGTTATTTTTATCTTAGTTAATTTGTTCAAATGAAAATATTATCATCAAAATTTTGTCCTGTTGCGGATTATAATGAGGAGAGAGAAGCACAGAGGTCAGTCTGTCATTGACACCTATCATAGTCATCAAGTTTTTCCTTATTGCAATCTTCTCCGCAAAGCCTTAAGGGCGTTGAAATCGATTAAAATTCAGTCAGAAGGAAGTTAGCTGTCGATCGTTGTAAAGGAAGCTCTATATTTTTCTAACATATTTTTTGTTTAGAAATTTCAAAATAAAATTATTAGACACGCGCCTACAATGCTTGAACCACCTCTTTCTTGTCATGACTTCAGAATCTTCTGTCGGCAGAATTTAAATTTATGCTTCATTCAATATATTCTCTCTCTCCCTTTCCATTACAAGTTATTTTATACTATGTCAAACAAATAAAAATCAAGTACAGTATATGTGCACTTGTGCTTTAAAATTAAGTATATAAAGCAGCCTCAAATAATAACAATTCATATTTGTTAAGCAGAGAGAATGACAAAACCGGAAACACGGTGTATAGTTTACACAGCATGATTTATGAACACCTCTGGCAATATTAGCCAATTTTCAATTTTTCTACTAATTCCTTCGCATTATTTCCATGCTCACTAAGTTCCTTTATTTTCCCTATTCATATCCTTCGAACAATACTGAAAATAGAAAGCACTGTCCCTCTATTAATGGCAAAAACTTCGAGTGGATATTGTAGTGATGACTTTCCAATATGATAAGTAGGTGAGCAATAACAGCGACTGCAAGAACAAAGAGATGCGTTTTTTTAGCAAAGCATTTACTAAGTGAGGAGAAAAATGAAAAGTGAAGACTAGTGATGGTGGGAGCAAAGATTTCTGATGATAGTTTTTAAAAGTGCAGTATTGAATTCATTTATAATTTTTAGCTTCATATTACCAACCCCTTTCTACTTCATCGATTATTATAAATGTGCTAAAACCTGAAAGCAACAAAGTTTCAAAGATTGGCTGATGGTAACTCTGCAGACTTTATATGTACCACATCAAGTTCAAATAATCTAAACCTGGTTTAACTTCGTCAAATATTAATAAACAGGATATTTGTCCCTCCTATCATATATCCTGCGTTAAATTATCATCAACTAAATCATATGATATGACCGAAAAAACGCCACAAGGCTTAAAAGGGCTGTATTCATGTTACTTAGGGAGAGAGGGAGAGAGAGGAAAGGAAAGTGCGCTCTCCTACGGCGTAAAGAAAGCCGATGTGACCTAAAACGTGATGGTCGATAAATTGCTACTGCTGCTCACTCGATAAGTTCAAGGTCATATGTTAGTATGTACGAGAAGGAGATGGATTGAAGTGCATTGCAAGCCCGAGGGGCAAATCAAAATCTAAGCAAAAAAATTTGTGCTCAAAATTAAGCAAATAATAAATTCAACTTCTCTTTTTCTCAAATGGACTCTGACGCAGCTTCACAAAACTGTGTTCTGATTTTAAAACAAACAGAAAAAAAGCAATATAAGCAGAGATATGCTGTGTGAAGAGGGATAAAAATCAGAATAAATATTCTGAACTGTCCGCTTAAATGCTGCACAATAACTTAAGCGCATAGATGAATATTTCTGTGGTGTGAATTAATATTACGAAATCTCTAACCAGCCGCATGTCTTCATTTTGCCACTTATAATGAACTATTCTATGAAATTTTTTGAAAATATTGGTTGTACCAACGAAATAAAGGTGAGTTTAGTATAGCAAGTAGTAAATTTGTATAAACTAACCAAGTTAAAGAAGGCGCGCTCAGCAATTTCCTTTCTTTAAATACCATTAAAATAGCCTTGTGGAGGAGAAAGTGTACTTTTCTATTCGATTAAGTGTCAATAGCTTAATCACCTCAATTGAAGGAGACTTTAATGAAAGGAAAACTATAATCACCTATCACTCAACACAAAATAAAACAAAATCATTCAAAATTGTTTTTTTCCTTTCAGTGGCTTCCTTTACTTAACTCCGCTTGGTCATTAGCCTATAATTATTCCCTGACATTCAACAGTATAAACCATCGAATTCCAAATTTTAGACGTGAATTCTAGGAGGTAGGAGAATGTTTTTTTGAAAAAATCTCGCAACTCCTTTTCAATCCAAAACAAAGAGACCGCATATAGATTCGTTCAGAGGAGTTGAAAACTCCAACAGGTTATTTTAAAAGAATTTTTAATGTTTATTAAATTTAATTACAACGTGGACTTTCGATTAATCTCTATCAATAGCGTGAATGGTTTTTCAAAAAGTCACAAGTGGCCTAACACTACAAAAAATAACGTCACGTACACTTATTGTATTCATATAAGTGGATAAAGTAGTTTTTGTTAAAAAATGTTGATGCCAAATAAGCAAACATTAAGCTTAATAAATTTAAAATCTTAGAAGCAATTTCTTCGACACAGGAGGAAGTAAACATACAGTTCACCAAAAGTCGCTTTAGTTCAAAGTAAACAGAAGAATATCGACAGAGACGTGCTCTGAAAAGATTGGGAAAAAAATACTTCAGCTGCTCGGAGAGTCTTCGTAAATTCCTCCAAAGTGTTAATTAATTGTAAAAAAATCACAGTATGCTTTTTATCAGACTTTATCTCGAATAGATAAAAAAAGTGCCAAAATCAGTAACCAGGATTATAGTAATATCATATCTCCAATAGGAGGTAATAAAATACTGTACTACATTCTATTCATGCAATAATTTTCTCAATAACTTTGATATTGGCTTCTCAAATTCAAATAAGAATAATACTATGAAAGCAAAGGGACTGGTTGCTTAACATGTAAGGTCGCTGAAGAACACGCTATTTTCATCTCTTCTCGGGGAGTGACAGATCACGATGCTAGCCCCCACTAAAAAGTGATAAAACTTTAAACAAAGAAGTGAAGGGAGAGTTCAGAAATTATTTTGAGGTTAAGGCGGTACCTAATGGAAAAAGATAGGTTCCCTGATTCGCGGTTTTGATCTGCTACTTATAGAGGTGAATGCCTTCAATTATTAATAGTCAATAGAAAATAATCTCTTCATTTTATTAAGTGTGTGAGGAAGATCGTAAGTGGCGAAAAGATTGACGGGATAAACGCACATTGCTCCATATGCCCTAAGGCTCTAGGTCGTCTCCGTTTATAGTTATAAGAAATTTGCTAGTATCATAAAGTAGCATAGCGAACTTACAGTTGCAACCGAAGTTTGTGAAGATCTTCAGCAGCATCAGCAGACGTCGAGGGAACGGTAGAAAGTGAAGCATTCGATGTTCCAGTCGTTTCACTTCGACTTCGATTGCTTTCTACAGTCCCACGCCTTTCTCCAGGGCTGGGATATCTGCTAGAGCCAAGTGGCTCACCACTAGGGCCTATTAAACTGTTTGCATAACTTGAAGCTGAAGTTTCAAAGATGGCAGAACCCTCATAAGGCTGCGTCGTGTCATAACTCGTCACGGGTACAGAGACAATACTGCAAGAACGAATGGAAGAGAGATCGGATGAAGACCATTGGTTACTTCGATCTGAAGAACTTCGATCTTCAGCAGCAGAGAGGACAGGGGTTTGAAGTGTGACCGCCTGATGTTGTGATCTATTATCGTCGGCGAAGGAGTAGATAGAAGCGGAAGATGAGGATGGCATTGGTCGATGAACTTTCATACTGGACGTTCGGGATGTGAGAGGATTGGTTTGAGTTATGGATTGCTGAGATTCGAACCCTGATCGTCGGGACAGAGACTCAGTTTCCTTGACCTTAGAAACAGTTGCTGTTTGTCGGGAGCGACTGCTTACAATTGAATCAGTTTCATCCAAATATTGCGGACGAGATATAACCCGATATCTAAAAGAGTTTTTCAGTGTTTACTTTCTAAACCAATGCTAATCGAAAGGTTATGCCAACTGAATATGTAAAATTCCAATCAGAATATGTGATTAAAACTAATTTATAAACGTATAAAGCTTAAATATCGACTTGTAAGATGCATATAAAATTAAAACCATAATATTATTTGTGAAGTGTGTATATTGGACAAAATGAGAAATAAAAGACTTATTAACTTTAAGTCTTGAATATCTGCTCCATATCCGCCTCTTCGACTTAAACTGGACTCATTAAAGCTCATAGAGTCGTCATCACTTGAAGACGAACTTTGCATCATTGTGAATCTTTTGACTTTTGTCACAAACAAGCACTACATATCAGATGTTATGAATATATGCATATGCGCAGAATATTTTAATTACGCATTAGTTGAAATGCATTTAAGTTAATAGGCTTAAACGAAGATTTCATGTCAGCAGATCCTAATAAATAACACTAATTTAAATATTTAATATTGAAGTTTATATTAATTTATCAGATACTATTCTTCTTTTAAACGGCAAAATGGTGGATTATTGTTTTTGGCATTTAGGAATAACAAAATTTTTTGCTTAAAACATATATGGGTGGTAAATTATGGAATTTTAGTATACAGCTTTTGCGAGAAAGTAAACAATAATGTTGATTCATGCATTAGAATATTGGTCTTGATTGTTATATCCGAAAATAATATCTAATTAAAACCCAAAAGTGTCACACATTAAGTGAAGAATATCACTTTCAATACCCATGACCTAACTGCAACGAACGGAGTAAACTATTTTAAGATTATATGTTTCAAGTTATTTTATGAGAATGTTTTATTTATAAATTAAATATGAGTAAATATTCGCAAAAATATATGAACAATTTATTTGCCTATATTTTAGTGATGACTTAACATGGATATTGTCTAATTAGTTAGGTTAATCAGGATAACCATTGAGTCTGATAATTTCGTAAAAGAATATTCAAATAAGTGAACCTATAGAACTTGAGCTTTACTTAATCAAAGGGGCAAATTGTATGTTCTACTAGTTTACATGTGTCCTAATTCCTTTGGGCATAAAAAATCCTTTATATGGTAGTCCTTATTCATTCTTTTGAGTCGTTAATAAAGAATATTAGGGAAATTAAATAAAAATCCTCAAGTTAGCTTTGATTAAGATATTACACAACTACCTTGCATTTAAATCTTACTTCAATTCGAAAAATGGACAAATGATTGTATTTAAGAGCGAAACACTATATTGAAGTTTAAAATATTCGTAGTAAATATAGAGCTGTAAAACCCTGTTCATATTTGCTAAACAATATATAAATTTTCCGATCATTTTTTATCAAGATTTCGAAATTTTACTTGTCTTATTTTTTCAAATAAGTTTGAATTTCTTGTTAAGCTCAACCATAAGCAACAGTAGAAAGCAGATCATTAAAAATTTAAAAATAGGCAGTATAATTGATTGTAAATGAATGTATATTGGACAAGAAGTCGATAATCAATGTTACCATAACGAAGGTGGCTCATTTCACCCTTTTCACTAACGTTTGTAGCGGATTGCTACACTAGTAAAGCCTGAATGGTTAAAGACTTGTAGCGGATTGCTACCTTAGTAAAGCCAGACCGGTTGAGAATTGTAACGGATTGCTACCTTAGTAAAGCCTGACCGGATTGCATTGTAGCGGATTGCTACGCTAGTAAAGCCTGACCGAAATCTCTATGGCAGATTCTCCAACACCTAGCTAGACTCCCAGAACAGCTAAGCTATAGCTCCACGGATTGCTACGCTAGTAAAGCCTGACTGACTCAGAAATACTATGGCAGATTCTACAACATCTAGCTAGACTCCCAGAACAAGCTAAGCTATAGCCTAGCTATAAGGGAAACTCATCTAGCTAGACTCCCAGAACCAACTAAGCTATAGCCCACATCTAGCTAGACTCCCAGAACCAGCTAAGCTATACCCCAGCTACGCTAGACTCCCAGAACAAGCTAAGCTATAGCCCAGCTATAGGGGAAACAGACGTGTAGCAAGGAATACGTTTATTCAATACGAATATTAATAACGAAATGTGTGTTTGGTAAAGCGATTAGTTATCAGATAACTCTAGCATGATTCGTGT